ATCTGGCTTGGTCACTAGTTTGAACATGACCAGTACGTACGAACACTGGGACAATGATTTATGACGCGATACCAATGCAGCCATCGACGTTTTGCAAACAAGTCCGTCTATCCAATTTCGCACACAAGCCTTGGGTCAACCATTGTCATAGTTTTTCTGACACATTCCAAATATGCCGAATATTGCAATTGTCTCCTCAGGCTGATAATATCAAGAAGTCACCTTCCTGATAAATCGACCCTGGTGAAATTCGAACCCGGGTTTCATGGTTGGAAAACAAATCTTCTACTCACTCGGACGTACACGATACTGCACATCATTACTATAGATTCAAATCTATGTCCGCACATACTTAAAATGCTTATAAGGTAAACGTGTTTGTGTGTTGTTCAAGCATGTACGTTCATAAGAATATATTTGTGCATGAGGAAAGAACTTCTAATAAATAAATCACTTACACATTTGCAAATGGCATACAAATACTCACTCTCGTTGAATGTAAGTATATGTGCGTGCTGGTCTGCGTGTTTGTATGTGGATTTGTGTGTGTTTGTGCTTTTTTGTTGTATTTTTCTTTAGCTTCAACAAACTATTCATATCGTTAACATTGAAAATATGAATATTACTACAAAATCGGGATACAATTAAATATATTTATAACTATATATAACGACATACAGGAATATAATTCATTTATTAATGATATTATTATTATTATTATTATTATTATTATTATTATATGTATTTATTTACTCATTGCTGTGTTTATTGTTATTTTTCTATTGAATTCCCTTCAAAGCTTTCATTTCATATTAATTTGGTACACTTTTGTATTGGAAAAGGATCTTGTTCCTTAGAGTTGGCATCGCAGACTTTGATGGATGGACAGGTTGAGATTTACTTTATTGCACTGGGAGGGTAAGGAAAAAAAAATTAAAAAGAAAGAAAGAAAGAAAGAAAGAAAGAAAGAAAGAAAGAAAAGATGGTTCGTAAATTCTTGTTATTTGCGCTTCTTCCAAAAAAAGCTCAATATTTGTCTGCTGCTTTTCCTTCTTTCTTGGCTTCCATATTTTTTTCTTTTATTTTCAGCCTTTTTTTATTATTATTGTCGTATGCAGCATTCGGCCTCCTTTCTTTCTTTATTTATATTTTTTAAGCAGCAAATTCATATTAATATGAAAATGGTGCATTTCGCTATTGATAAAAGATCTCTTTCTTCACGGGGACTTTGGAGATTTCCAGGCACATATGCGGTTAACTTTATGGAAAAGAGAAACATTTAGATGTGCACTTCCAGAGAGCACTTTTTTTTAGAAATATTGTTCTATATCATTTTCCAATCATTTTAATATTTCTTTTTTCTTAATCCTTTGTATTTTCTTCTTTTATTTTTTTCTTTCTATCTATCTATCTATCTATCTATCTATCTATCTATCTATCTATCTATCTATCTCAGTCTCTGTAAATATCTATCTATCTATCTATCTATCTATCTATCTATCTATCTATCTATCTATCTATCTATCTCAGTCTCTGTAAATATCTATCACAGTCTAGTTATCTATCTATCTATCTATCTATCTATCTATCTATCTCCCGTTCTCTCTCTCTCTCTCTCTCTCTCTCTCTCTCTCTCTCTCTCTCTCTCTCTCTCTCTATCTATCTATCTATCTATCTCCCGTTCTCTTTCACTATCTATCTATCTATCTATCTATCTATCTATCTATCTATCTATCTATCTATCTATCTCCGTTCTCTCTCGCTCTTTGTCTGTATGTCTCTCTCTGTCTCTCTCTCTCTCTCTCTCTTTCTATCTATCTATCTATCTATCTATCTATCTATCTATCTATCTATCTATCTATCTATGACAGTGCCTCTTTCTCTCTCTCCCTCCTCTCTCTCTCACTTTCTACATCTCTATATTTTAATTCTATATAATAATCGTTAACATTGCAATATAATGCTATAATATATTATCGCGTGAAAATTGTTTCCTCTAACATCTATCTGACCAACTTCAAACTAGCACATCAGATCGTTTCTTTACAACTATTTCTGTCATCCATAGCGCTCCCCGGTTCTTATATTCTGGTTCTAGTGTCGTCTATCATTTGATCGATAAAGATTCTTTTTGCTCCACCCCTTGACTTTTTCCCATAATAAGGTTTCTCTACCATAAGTTAATGCACAACTTCACGTCTACATCTCCAGCAATGGTCACTAAACCGTAAATGTCTTTCATAGATTGCGACCGTAAGCTTTGTATTAAAAAAGTTTCCTATAATAATTGTTCATTGAGAATATGTTGTTTCCAACTGGCATTTAGCGTTGCTCACAATTGTCGAATGTACGTACATTTTTTTTTGCCACTGGTCTCCACCATGAAAGCTTCATAAACAAAAATAGCCAATCTTAACTAAGTTTGTTGCACTGGAAATAAAAATGATATCCAACATTTTCGATTGGGTTTAGATTTCAAGATACGGTACTAGTGTTATATGAATATTTCATCAAAATTGTTGTCCTTGGTATATTAATTATTATTATCTTAATGACCTTATTATATAGAATTATTCGCCTAATAAACTAATGCTCTTATGCTCTTTTCCACTCAGGTTTTCACACATTTAACTAACCAGTGAAAAATGCCTCGTGAATGTCTGAACAAAGCTGATAACTTCTGTTATGTGTGACGCGAAGTGACTTTTGCATCTCAAAAGCGAAACATGAAACTTAACTTAGCAACTATATTTTGGAAGCAACATTAGAAACTAAAAAAAAAGAATAAGTTGCTACCACACATATGCTGTAATACCTGTGCAATAAATTTCAGTCAAAGGTTAACCAGGAAGAAAAAAATCTATGCCTTTTTGCAGTTCCCAGGATTAGGGGGGAGTAAGTCGATCATGTCAGATTGAGACTATTAAAGATAAAGAAATGTACTGTGAATATTCAAACATTCCATCGGATTTGCGTCTTGTCCCACATAATGAAGACATACCATTCCCAGAAGCAATGGAATCGTATAAAATTAAGTCGGATGATGGAAAATATAAGGAAACTTCATAGCCTGAAATATCAACTTCATATGACCAAGATTATTAACCGACAACCGTCTCTGAACTAAATCTCATAACACTGTAATCCGAAAGACCCTGTCGGAGATTTGGAGCTCTCTAAAAGTAAGGCAGAATTGTTAGGTTCTAGGTTACAACAGTGGAGTCTATTAGCTGTGAACGCCATAAGGATTTAGTCGAATTCTTCTTTATGGGAGGTGCTTTGGTACACTGCTATAGTATCAATGGTCTTATGAAATCACTTAACATCAGTTACAATTCAGAGGAATAGAGGCTGCCCATTGATTCATTGAGGTAAAGCCTCAAAGCTGTCCAGTTACACAATGGGAATGTTTCATCTTCAATACCAGCTGGTCATGTAGTCGACAACTTATAACAATCTGAAACAACTACTTTGACGTATCACGGATGAAGGAACTTGAGGCAGCAGAAGGATGCTGAGAATATCGTGCATAGAGCATGTGAGAAAGAAGGAAGTTCTACGGAAAATACGAACAAAAAAACACTTTTACTTAACATCAGAATGAGAGAATTGAAATTTCTAGGATACAGAAAGGAGGGCTTGGAAAATTTGATACTCACAGGACATATTGAAGGCAAGGGGTCAAAGGGAGGTTTCTGAACTTTCTATCTAATTTCAATATTTCTATATGGCACTGGATGCTGAACAATTTCCTCACGGATGAAGGGGATTCAGGCAACAGAGATGTTGTTCTAGAAAAGGATATTAAAATGATTGGAAAATGGAAGCAAATATCCAGTCCATGGGATTCTCAGTATCCTACTGAAGAACCATATGTTTCCCTTAATCCGTGGGGAAATTTTCCAGCATTCAGTGCCATTTATAAAGGTTGATATTCACAACCTTCACTGTTTCCCGTTTGCCTTCAATATGTCCTGTGAGCACCAAATTCTCCAAGCCCTCCTTCCTCATCATGTATCCTAGAAATTTCAATTCTCTCTGCCTGATTCTAAGTATAAGCGCCCTTTTTGTTTCCATTTTTCTTAAAACTCCCTCCTTACTCAAATATTCAGCCCATGGAATTCTCAGTATCCCACTGAAGAACCATATTTTTGTTACCTCAAGTCTCTTCATCTGTGAGGAGATTGTCCAACATTCACTGTTGTAGAGGAGGACAATTCTCTACATACGTGTGAAAGCGAGTGCACTAGCCTGCCATCGTCAGCCGTCAAACAGGGGAGGTAACACAGTTTCAGTGGCTAAAGTGGTAATGCAACCCTTGACGCCACCTGTAATTTTTGCCAGCGGA